TTTAGGCATCCACGGGGGATTACCAAAAGCATAGGTATCAAATCTAACGGTTCATGTTTGTTTTCAAAGGGCCAATTAAATTGTCGAGAGATGATAATATAACTCCGGTTTCGCGCCTGGCCCATAAGGTGTTAATGGAAATTGCCTTCCTTAAGTAATAAGAAAAACGCATTAGGTAAATAACGTTTATTACAATTGAATAACACGATCCGATCGCATTTAACAAATCAATGAATCACAAAGCCCAAAGTATGCTTCGATCGATAAGGACGTATGGGAAAGGAAAACAACATGGGAAGTCACTGTAGCTAGCAGCCACCTTGGGATTCAATAAAAGGGGCAGTATTATGCATATACGACGCACGTGAACCTGTCGAGTATTCGTTGCAAAAACCACACCCGATCAGAACAAAATTTGATCTTCATCTGGGTTGGAGTTTAGAATGTTTGGAGCTTCTTCGGCCGAGGCTAGAACAAACCCTTTGGCTTTTAATTCGGCTGCTTTTCGATCGCTATTTTTCTTCTTCTTTTCTTGCACTTTTTTCAACCTAGAAAATTGGGGAAAATGTGATTAGTCATTTTCTGTTTGTTACTGGAGTAATATCGTGTTGAGAAAATAAATCTAATTGGATTATGGATTCATCGTTCACAATTTCAGATGAACGTTCACCGTTTTAAAACTAACAAAATTCACAGTGAATTTTGCGAGTTATATGGGGGCGGATAACAATTTTCGGTCGTTCAAATTGGGAAATGATTACTCCTGTACAGTTGATACAATAAAAATTCAAGTGAAACTACTTCTTTTGATATACAAATGAACTTCGGTATACAGCAGACTCGTATGTTTCGAATAATGCCTACTTTTCCGCAAGCACCAAAGTTTGCGATAGTTTTCCTCTGATTCGCACATACAGACATCTGTAGAAGCGACGAATGCCTTGTCTTCGGATTAGGTATGAGGACAATCGTGTTACCACTATACAGCAAAAAAAGCGATAAACACTCACCGGAAAAATTCTTCTCGTTCACGTTCATCTAACTCTTGGGTAATGTATTGCAAAGTGCGATCAATCCTGGGAATGATCACTGTGTACGTAAGAAAGATGTGAATGGTATGAATAAACAGATCAAGAAGTTCACATGAAAGAACAAAAGATAAGTTCGCCTTTTTGAGTGATTTGAATCTTACTAGGTAATTATGATAGCCCGCGCAACGTAATTTACCGAGAAGGCACGAATAAACACTTGTTTGTTTAACATTGTAAAAGACGAAGTGGAACTCGGAATCAAGAGAAACATAGCGATATGTACATCCCCGACAAGAACAATCGACAACGCATTATATTACTTTGACAAGGCGCGTTTGTTGGACATGAAAACCCTAAATACGCCGATCATGCTTGGTCTTTAGAGGATTACTTGTTGTCAAGTATCTTAGCGCATATAACCAAACAGTTGGCTAGTATCTGCGTAATACTGTAACAACAAACGACCAGCACGAGGTCACTTCGAGCGAGTTTGCATCGAACACTGTCCTTCCTCCTCCAGACAAACAAGTGGACAAAATAAACATTCATTTACTCAATTATTTAAGCAAAATGATATACTGTGAATAAATATAAAGATGAGACACGAAGGATCACGACGATGCTGTGAGTTATTGTGGTGGTGCCTTGCATGCATCTGTGACTCAGCGAATTATATATGATAGATTATTACGGCCAAAAATGAAATCACATCTGAAGAGGCGATAGGTAGAGGTCAGATAAGGCTAAGCCTTTCAGGGCCAACTGGATCCCTTTGACAACCCACTCTCGCTCCAGCAGATAAACACGAGGAGCAGTTTACCGATTGAGAAATCCCGCTGGATGGATGCAGGACCGGTTTACCTAAGGGAGTTTCCTGTCCACAGTGGGAGTATTCGTGCTTCATTGGACAGTGGTCTAACGTCTGAGTTGGGCATCCCTAGACAGTAAAGTGTTGCCCTATTCACGTTCTGCCTGTCTCAGTGGGTACATAAAGCCAAGGACCGATCTAGAACGGCGGACTGATAATCAATGCACCAGCGAAAAAATATCCTGCTCGACCTAAAGGAACGTCCGTGCGTTGGATCTACGTCCCATTGCTCAATGGGTTGAGCTTTTAAGTGAAAGTCTTAAGTTAGGGTTTCCAAGGCCAAATCAGAAGCAACCGAATCGATCAAATCAATATTTTGCTTTCAATTAGCTGTAGCCGTACACTACCAGATGAGCCAGCAACCTGCCTCAACTAGAACCTTTTTAAAACATCAACATAGGTGTATACTGCCTTCTAAACACTTCAATTATCATACTACGTACTCCGGAACCAACCCCACCCTGACGTTCCATGTGTCAGGTTATTTGATATCTAGCGCTTGCGGTGGTCCGGTGTCGGTGTTTACACCAAATGAGCGGTTGCCTCTGGGTTGTGTCGCACACATTAGCCGGTCACGCGCTATACAACTTGCTGGTTCCGTGTGGGTTAACAGCAAAGGAGTGAAGCGTCGCGGCTCATTCGTCGTGCCCGTATTTGCAATTTGCCTGAAATAAGGCATGACCTCCATTAAGTGCTTCGAAGCGTTCGCTCAGTGGAAATCGTAGCTGCGACCGGCCATTTTAAAGCTTATTTGGGACCTCTAGATGCATCAGAAGACAGGCCGCCCAGATGCAATTTAGAGGACAACGGAGAAAACCTAGTTCGGCTTTGCGCAGACTAAGGATTTCTCTAGCCAAGCACCAATTTCTCAAACAGAAAGCGACACGGTCTAACATAGGAACCTCCACACTCTTCTCAGCGGGACACTCGAAGTGATCAACGTTGTGAGCTACCATGGGCGCAATCTACTCCAGACTGACGCTTCTGTCGGTCTGCACATGTTCCGAGGGAGATTCTGCCTGCACCTGACGAACAACCAGTACAAAGCCGATGAAAACGGATATCAACAGTACAGTGTAAGTGGCAACAGCTGATCGGTCTTCGAAGCACTCTCATTATCATTCAGAGAAAACTGGAAGCAGTTCAAACTTCAGTCAAAACTAATGGATTCTGGAAAATGACGGAAACACAAACTAAGACCTAGCATGACGGTAGTTGAACAATCTCTAACCTGGAATACGGGTACATGGAAACCAACGGGTTCGATGGCACACTTATTCACATTCAGCGAAAACACCTCTGCATTGTAAAGCAGAACTGACCTAATCGCTGTAGCATATTCTCGACCCTTCACAGACAGCCGAATCCCGCGAAGGCGCCAGAGATGTCTCACGTTGGCAAGTTCAAATCGAGCCCTCCGTGATTATACAAAGAAGCGAACTTCGCTGATCACGGAGTGATTTCTTACAACCTAGAGCAGTAACTGCAAATAAGACGCGGTGCAGCAGACGACAGCTGAGCATACGCAGTACGTGTCCTAACTAGTGAAGCCTAATGATTTGAATTCGATAGATCATTACCAAACACTTAATAGCATCCTACAGAAATGCTTAAACGCTCGCCCCATCCGAATCCCGCCGAACTACGTAAAAATCAACAGCCGAAGACGTCTAGGAGATGAACATATTTCATGAGCAAATTTAGGGTTTCGCAACTGTAAAGCAGAACTGACTGGGTAGCGTAGTATACGCGATCTTTTGGTTTCAAAAATATCACCAGTACACCAAAGGTGTTTGAGTCCTGTGTAAGTTACTCGAGCCTTGGAAATGCGGGGGGCTACTTTCTTCACTATGTTACCGTCATTTGTCAAGCAACTACCTGAGTAGGATAAATAATCTAGATGAATTTCACCTATCCACATTCAGGAGAGGTGTATTAGTCTCAGCTTTGGAGGTGTCAGAACTCCTGGGTTTAGAATGGTCTAGTGAATATGCATGTGAATCGATGGTGAATTGGCCTGACTGCTATCACCTCGAAGCTTCTAGCTGGTGTCGCACTCTGTCGGTTACCTGCGGCATATGTGACAAGCAGGCTGGTTTAACCTTCGACAAATTACAAAAGCCCGCCATTTCGATTCGGTCTACCGCACAAGAACGTGAAGCTGCTCTCCTTGAACGGCGTGAAAAACACTACTTCACTTTTGAAGTTCCCGTGTAAAAAACGCCGAAGCCCGAGGTTAAGGGTCTTTTACACTCTAGTTTACCCCGCGAAGCTGTGCTCATCCGGGTTTCCCCTCTTTCTTCTTTTTATTTATATTTGTCATGGATATGATTTTGAAAACATTTGTCCTTACACAAGCATCCGTTTCCACGCGGTCGGCGTTTGGCTTCCATTACTCAAGTTGGCTGGGGTATGCGTTACGTTTGTCACCGACTAGGTTGCTTCGGCGAGGGAGGTTTACGAAGGCATGTAGTGGGTGAAAAGAGTCAAAGGTGGCTAAATTAGGACCTGGCAACGAATGCATGAAATCCTTGATTGTGGGACTCAGCTATATATATATATATATATATATATATATATATATATATATGACGGTAGGCTTCCTGGTTGTTAAGGGACTGAATCTTAAGGTTCAATTTCGCATACAATGGTGCTTCCTACTTATTCCGATCAAATGAGGTAGTCGATAGACAACAACTAAAAGCACGGCACGAAAGTGCAAGGTTATTGGATGTATAAACTGAATGATTGCAGCACAGGTCTATAAATAACTCACGAACGCAAACATGCAAGCATACTTTGATGACCCATGTGAAAATTAAACTCACCATATTCAATAGCATTCACTCGGCGATTTGTGGATTTGATTACCTCATCCAGTGTAATGAAGGATGTTTGAAGTGAGGCCAGTTCGACCAAAAGTTCAACCGCTTTGATGTAATTTTTTTTCAGTCTATCGATTTGCTGACCACCACCAGCAAGACCCGTAAGTTCATAAGCTAAACCGCGAAAGGTAGAAGGCGAAGATTCTTAGATTAAGATGCTAAATATATTAGCGACTCGGGAGAAATTATGACAACACGACGGCATCAACTGTCACAAATCACTCAACATTGGCACCATGCTTGTTCTCAAGCTGGTGTAAACAAAATAAAAATAACTCAACATCTTTGCACGTGAACGCAGCAGATAACATGAAATCAATGAGGAAAGTGGCAAACTTACTGTCGGTTCCCTCCGTATATGTTTTAAAAACAGGAAGATGGACACCTGGAAAAGTCAAAACGAGTTAAACAAAGAAATCGTAACAGACCAGCCACGTTTTCTTTTGCGGTTTTCACTTTTCTCTGAGCTTTGGTAACATTTTGCAACACCAGACTATTTATATTGGCAGCAGTAGTGAACTTCACACTGGCCAGGGAAAATGTTGCTTCCTTCATGACTTCACCCATTGCTTGTTTGGCCTCGATGATTTTCTTCAGAATCGCACGAAACCGAATGGTTAGTGCATCTGATTTTTTCTTCAAGAGACGATGACCTTTTTGTGCACCCTTCATGCGGTTTTTCATTGCAGCCAGAGCCCTGTATGAGGTAAAACAAGTTGCATTCAGTTTTAGTTTACACAATTGTCATCATCATCATTGTACAACGTAATGCAGTGAAACGAACTTCACTGACCGCTGCCAAATTCATGATACGTACAAGGTAAGTGAAAATGTGCAAGGAGGATAGGGATTGGACTTGGATTTTCGGGATGGAAAAAGAAAGCAAACCTCTATGGTCAACACACAGAGGACAGTCCAACTGTGCACATATACAATTCCAAGCATTCTGGTCTGATAAGAAGTGACAACAAGATCGCCACTGCTGTCGGTTCGCAGCCATAACCTTCAGTGACTCCAACCATGCGGTTCCGGAGTCTTTTGACCCCCAACCCGGAAGACGGGAGACACCTACTCTACCTAATCGCTCTGTGCATTTCTTTATGCCTCGTCTCCACGTTATCTGCTGACCTCCACGTGGCTTTCTCTAGTCTACAACAGCGACTGCGAATACGGCGCAATGCGGTAGGCGAGCGTTGGATATACGCAAAACGTGTCCAACTGAGCTGAATTCCACGCGATAGCGAGTTCTTGTTCGACGCATCGCCGTCTATGCTCCAATGTTATATACAAAATCGCCCATCAAAGATGATTTCTAAAATGAAGTTCAACACGCCCAGTTCCAGTTTCCAGTTTTTACAATCATTAACCATACACTTTCGTGCGCCGGTTTCGGTTGCTGTCTTTTGACCGCCCTTTGGGATAAAGGCGCAGGATGAAGATTGGAATGTTGAGAGAATTCATATAGAATGAAGTTACAAGAATAATAGGTAGATGCATGAGCGCCACTGTTTGTGACACCCAGCCATATTGCTCAGTGTCTCTCACCATCGGTGCCCATGATCTCCGGGTCCCCAGACAGGGAGCCTAACGGAACCTAGTGACCCAGTAGCCTGGTTAGGGTTTTCATACAATCATGCCAGGTTTTGGTTTGACCTTCCTTGATCTGTTTTCAATTGCTACTTGCCTCGGCAAACCGCTCGCCGTGGCAACCTACCTGGTGACATGCGTAGCACATGTGCAGTCAGCGTAATCTATGGAGGTTGACTACTTGCCCCAATGGAAAACCGCGATTACCTACGACTCTACGCCTAACCTCAGCATTACTCATCCGGTTACCCCACCAGACTCATGCAATGCGGTGTTCGAACACCGACAATCTATTTTTATCTTGTTCCCGTAATGAACAAGTCTTTGCACCGTGGAGCAGCACTGTCCGAACTGCTGCAACATAGACTTGATTCTTCATAGACAGCTGGATGTCGCGACGGCACCAAAGATGTCTCAAGTTGGCAAATGCCAACCGAGTCTTTTGTATGTGTATGTGCAGTGAACCGCAGTCCGAGAGATGTTTTCCTTATCGCGGGAAACTGGAATGCACACAGTAGTCCATCAGACGAGCATACTCTGCATGTGGTGGTGGCGCAGTGGTTTAGTCGCTGTCACTGGCGTGCTTTGTGTCGTAGATTTATTATTGTCCTTTCTGTTGCATAGATTGCTGTTATTCTGGGAGCATATTCTAACATTTCGCTTGTCCCGTTTTAACTCTTGTGCCTCGTTTTTGGTCGATTAAAGCCTATCATTAATGTGTTGTCTTCTGGCTTGTCTGCCGACTAAACGTGTGATCTGATACACTACAAGTTCTCGTCAATCATATAAACTACTACGTTACAATTTAATCGACCAATTACAATGGACCGACATCTACGCCCGGATCGTTTTGACACTGATCCAAACTCTCCAAATGGTTCCGATTCCTGGGAACACTGGTATTATACGTTCACTAAGTTCCTAGCATAAACCAGACAAACTCAAAACCCTCATGCACTTTTTGTCGCCTACCGTCAGCAAATTCGTTTCACGATGCACTGATTATGACTCTGCCATTACGACGCTTCAATGCATGCAAATGAAGAACGAGATTTTCGGGCTTCATCTTCTGGCGACCTCGAAACAGAGTACCATTGAAACTCTAGATTAATTCACGCAGAAGCTCAGAAACCTTGCTCGAGACTGCAATTTTAAAGCAGTCAGTGCAAAACAAAACGAGGACGCCATACATGACGCGTTTATCAGCGAGCTATTATCAAACTCCATCCGCCAGCGGCTTCTTGAAAATAAAACACTCGATGTGAGTACCGCTTATCACCAGGCCAAAGCTCTCGATCTAGCTCAACAACAGTCTCAAACATTCGCCCAAGCCACCCCTTCAATCTACGCTGCCGCTGCAAGCGCCCTGGATCAGACACCTGAGACGCCGTTGGCTGCGTCCCGAACAAGCTGCTTCTTTTGTGGTTATGATCGACATCCTCGTAACAAAAGTCCTGTGAAAGATGCAACTTGCAAGTTATGTGGCAAACGGGGACATTTCCAGAAAGTTTGCCGGGCTCCTGCCAACCCAAAGCATATCGCAGCTACCTCACCGTTCCGCGTCTCCTCCATCAGTGCAGCCGAAGCCCCTGCGAGCATTACTAATGCTGTTACTGATGTAACAGTCAACGAATTAGCATTGAAAGCTCTGGTTGACACAGGAAGCTCAAAAAGTTACGTATCTGAGGAGATCGTTCTCCGGAACAAATGGTCGACATTGACATCCAATAGTAAGATTATCCTGGCTTCCACCCGTATGACAAGCTGTACCAGGGGTCATTGTTTCGTCTCCCTAATACATGAAGGTAGTCTGTATGAAAATGTCAAACTGTCTGTTCTCCCCGATTTATGTGCTGACGTACTACTAGGACATGACTTTTTACAACGACACAAGTCAGTAAAAATACCTTTCCAAGGAATTCAGCCACCGTTTTCTCTATGTAGTCTCTCGGCCGCTAATCTTCCAGTTCCCTCCGTTTTCGCACATCTGGACCCCTCTTGCCATCCTATTTGCACAAAATCAAGAAGACACAGCTACTACCATGAGAATTTTATTCGTTCAGAGGTGAATGTACAGAAGAGTTAAACTACAGTTAACATATCTGAGCAGTAGAGCACATATCCCTACTCACCCCGTTTGATGCAATGGGTAGTGCGGCCCTGATTATCCTGTGCGAGGACCGATGCGGTATGAAACTACTTTCGGCTTGTGTTCATTGGAGCTATATGGACGGGTAGTGCCCGGGAATCCAATCACCAAGCAGGAGAACGAGTAGAGTTCTCAATCAAAGCCGTTAGTTCTGACGAGAACCTGACCGCAAGATAGCGGTTAAACCGAAGTAGAGGTCTTCTGGGAAGAAATATACCTCCATCATTTTTTACCGAATGAGGAGTCAACCCCGCACCCTGGAGGACCAGGACACTGGACTTCGTCTGGCCTCTATCCGTTGACCTTCGAGGCATGATTAGATCTTTGGTTTAACATTCTGTGTAGGCTTTTGGGTCGGAGATGTACACACTATCACACCACGTCGAGGTGCAGCCTCATCATGACAGTGTCACAGCTCCCACGTGTCCCCGACCAGGCATTGCGAAAGCCAAAATCTACAATTGCGTTGTTAGTACACGATGTCACCGTTTTCATAGCAGACTGTACATGAACTGAAAAAGTAGATATCTCGGACATTCTATCGCGATAGCCAAATGTCGCACATATCGGATACAAGCAATCTCGCCTTTCATAGCAAAATTCATTTAAACTAGGTCATTGCATATCCATAATAAAAGTATCGGATCGTATTCGAATCCAAACTGTTAAGATGAATGTAGTCATCTTTCCTAACCAGTGATGTTTCTAGCAATGACCTTAAATGCTTGTTTGATCTACACGTAACTGTAACGATCCGAAGTAAATGCAGAAATTCTACTCACAGAAAATGATACATTTTCGAAGCTTGAAAACCTTCCTTTGATGTCCCCAGTTGGCGATACAACTTCGAAGGAGATAGCTTGAGATTACTTCTAACAGTTGTGCACCGGACTGTTTGCCGAATCCGTTAGATGACCGTTTAATCTTATCTCGTACCAACGAACTTTATCGAGCTTGAAGCCCGTCAATTCAATTAAACCCGTCGTAAATGAAATATTTACCACCGGCTTGAAAACAAGCATGGTGCCAACGCAACAACAATGACAGTGAAGG